AAAAAAGCCAAAAAAGAGTGTGCACTGCAAAAAGGAGTAACCATGTGAAAACACGACTTAAATAGGAATAAGAGAATCTTCTCACAGCAAAAGCATGGGTTAGGTAACGAGTTTAATTAAAAGAGTGAATTACTTAATCTGTATTTTGGTAGGTTTTAAATTGTTTTGAAATGTTGAAGAGATCTAACCTGATAGGACAACAGAAGGGGGTGCAAGACAAACAAGAAAAGGCTGGCTTTTTGGTATGGTAAAACAGCAATGTTTTTCCCTGACCGTGTAAAACAGCAACTGATCAAGACCAATACATGTAGCAGGAAAAGCACGAACATATCGATTGGTGTATGTTTAAACTATGATTAAACCAGACATGATTTTGATCTATAGTGGGATCCATGGTCTCGCCTTTATTTATATTTCTTGATCATTTTAGCAATCAGGCAATTGAGCCAGAGAAATTAAAGTTCATTCGGACCATACGTTGAGAATTGTAAAGTCGTGAATTAGACGGATTTAAGCTCACTGTATCAGGTTCTGCACTCTGCTCCAGTGCTCTGAGCAGTAATATTGCGTCTCCATTAAATTGCAGATTAAAGCAACTGGACGCAGACAGGTACGTACTGTGCGTAGGGGCCATTGAGCTGGGACCGGGCTGCCCAGCAACTTGGCTCATATGAGATTTAGATTCCCTCATGTAAATGTTATATAAAAACGTCAATAGGCATTGCTCATATTGATAATGATCACTACGACCTTTCAGGTATGACTCAACATCTCAACCATTTCCTAAATCCAAACTATATATGCTTCCACGTCCCTGTTAAATCACAAACGCACAGTGAGATGTAGATGAGGGCCGGTCCATATTACCCAATGGAATCCATGTAATGTACAGGGGTATTATAAAAAAAAGTGATACAAAAGTTAATTAAATAATACTCCCTCCGTTCCTTATTATAAGAGACATTTGATACTTATGGTATGTTCCTATATATAAGAGACACTTACAAGTTGTCTCTACTTTTTTGTGTTGATTTACTATTTTACCCATATTTATTATCTCCAACTCACACTCTCTCTCCCTCCCACTTCTCTTTCTTTTAATAATTTAATTGTTCTCTTCATGCTCTCTCTCCTTATTAATGAGGGCATTTTTGAAAAAAATTATACTTTTTACACATTAATTGTTCTTAACTAATTTTAACTGTTTTTTTATCAAGGTACTTCGGTTATTTGTCTCTTATAATAAGAACGGAGGGAGTAATATTTGAGACTAAAATAAAACTTTGAAATAAATCTTGTACTTAGCAACGAAGCATTTCATGCCCCAAAAAAATCGAAGGTATGAAAGACAAGAAGAGTGTTCTAAAACAGGACGCAGGCATTGCGGTGCCAACAAGCCCACCAACCCACATTCTTTTGAGCCATACCGACATCCCACAGAGACAGAACATGGTTCCCCATTAACTAAGTAATTAATTAATCTCAATTACTATAAGTATGCGCCAAACATACTTTTACATGCACTAATTTATTATTAATTTATTTATGCTTGCTTTCTCAAGGTTGCCCCTTAATTAACTCAGTCTCTCTCTCTCTCTCTTTTCATTTGGGGGCACGTGCCCTTGCTCTCTCAGCCTTCCCACGTCACTTTGTCGTTTTCATCGTCTCGGCTTACCAAATCAGTAACTAGTCGTTAAATTAATCTCATGCAGCAGCCTTGATTAACATCACCCTGCGCTTCCTTGGAATATTAAAAAATCAATCTTATATTTCAAAAAAGAAAAAGAAAAATCACGCTTATTCAACGAGATGCTCTCAGCTCAAAAATTCGTTTTAGTCCAGTAAATTTTCCGCAGTTTAGCATCTGAAGATGAATGATTCCGTTTCCAAGCTTGTCGTTAAAATAATATTCTGGAGCAATATAGTAGTGTGTGTGTGTATTATGCTTTTATCCCAAAACAATAGACAAGACGTTTGTAAGTTTCCCCAACAGTGAAAAGTTTGAAAGGGCTAGCTGTACATGGTTAAATTGGAAATAATACATTTTGATTTCTTAAAAATTTATTTGAAATAACTTGTAAACAGTTTTTTAATTATTGTTGTTGATATAATAACTAGTTGACTCATTTAAATAGATTAAGAAAATTATGTAAGTTAATTATTTGTAATAAATATGTATTATCTTTTTTAAAATATTCTTGTTAATTGAGTGTATTAGCTAAAACTATTATTATTATAAAAACTATTTAAAAAATAAATATAAAAGACAGAATAAATTAAAATCTCATATTTATGATTAAAATAAAAATAAAGTGAGTAAAGATAATATGATTTATAAAATACGTATACGCAAATAATTTTGCCTCGCTCATATCCGCAGCTTCAAACAAGCTGTAAATGAAATGTTTTAAGCGAGTTTGTTAAGCCTGTCTCCGTCAGAGAATTATACGTGTCATATTCGTAACCACTCTCGTCTTTACTAAATAAACCACTAGCAACTAGCCATTGTACCAATCTACAAAGAGTAATGGCTTTTTTTCCCAAACTGAATATTCCAACCCCAATTTTTAATTTAATTCTAAATATTAGATTCAAATTTATTTTATTTTTTATATTTATTTATTTTTTTAAAATACTTTTCTAATCTTATTTATAAGTCATTTTAATATATACTGTACAGGTCAAGAAAAACATTAAACTTTATTTACCATTATTTAAAATCTAACAACTTTTAATTTTATCCATTTAATATACAATATACATCATGTAAACAAAACACTACTTCCGGTTCTAATTATAAAAGCTAGTTGACTAATTTGACGAGGTTAAAAAAGTAAATTGAGTTAGTTATTTGTCCTAAATAGGTGTTGTCTTTTCTAAAATATATTTGCTAATCAAGTATATTGGCTGGAACTACCATTATTAGAAGGACTACTTTTAAAAGAAATGTATAAATATAAGAGGCAAAGTGGATTGAGGCTTTATATTTAGGACCAAAATAAAAGTCAAACAAGGTCTTATATTAAGAATCGGAGGTAGTAAAATAATAACAAATAAGGGATAAAATTATGCATTCATACAAAAAATTTCTTTCAGTAGCCTATAAATAGGATTAAAGGAGTAGTTTTTATTGTAGTTGCACATATTGCGGGTTTCATCAAATGATAATTTTAGTTAATATACATAATTAGTAAAGATATTCTAAAAAATAAAACATATCTTTATTATAAATAACTAATTACACCAAGTTTTTTATTTTTTCCAAATTAGTTAGTCAGGTTTTATATTAAGTATTTTAAATTTTTGTTTGGTTTGAAATACGAAAGCCATGAGTTTAATTTTCCATGAGTATGATGGGTATATAAATTACTCCTCCGGTCCTTATTATAAGACCCCATTTGACTTTTTATTTGGTCCTAATTATAAGACCCAAATCCATTTTGTCTCTTATATTTATGCATTTTTTTCCAAGATAATCCTTCTAATAATGATAGTTTTAGCCAATATACTTAATTAGCAAGGATATTTTAGGAATGATAACACTTATTTATTATAAATAACCAACTTAACTTACTTCCTTAATCTCCTCAAATAAGTCAATTGGGTCTTATAATTAGAACCAGAGGAGTATTTAAGTATAACCAAAAAGAAATCGACTTGTGCTAGAAACGATAGTTTTAACATCAGTGCTCACATCATTGTTGTTCTCCTAAACAGGACCAAGAGAAATTCTAAAAAGGTATTTAGATAGAAACTAAATCATGAATTTAAAAATATTTTTATGGTTTACGAAATAAAAATGTGAAGAAGTTTATCTTATTCTGTAAAAAAATACTTTTTTAAAAACATTTTTGAGAATTGCCCAAATTCCCTCTATAAGTCGATCTAACGACTTGATCCCTCTATTCATTGTGGTGGAGCGCATCACGTGGTGACTTGATCCCTCTATTCATTGCGTAGGAGAGCATCACGTAGTAAAAGCATGAATTTAATCTACAGTAATTGTCTAATAAACTCGACAGAGTTACGGAGATGAGCGGACTTGGATTCTCCTCACTTCTTCTCCCATTCTCTACCCTCTTTTTCCTTCACAGTTATTAGATTAAAATTTCAATAGTCTAGATTTAACATCTTATAAAAATAATATTATTAAAAAATAAATAAATAAATTTAAACTGTTAAAATTTGGTTTAAACAGTTAACAACTGTAATAAAAAAAGTTGAAAAAAATTTGCTCTGTTATAAGTCTGTAGATATAAGCTGTTTAAATTAGATTTTAACAATTTAAACTTATTTATCTATTTTTATAATTATATTTATTTTTATAAAATGTTGTAAAATATTAAATCTGAACCATTAAAATTTTAATCTAATGACTGTGAAAGGCTAAAAAAAGTAGTGGAGGGAAGAGGACGGAAAAGAAGGGGAGAGAATCCGAGATGAACACACCTCTCGTGCTGATTGATTGTACTGGCAACATGGCAATTCAAAAGAAGTATGGGGCTCACAAGGCGCCATATTTTCCGTGTTTTAATTTTTAATTAATCAATAATCAATGTGGGGAGAGCATAATTGTGGAAGTGGAGCCAGCAGGAAGGGTCAATAAATATACTGGTATGGTCCTATAAAAGGGCAAGGTTGAAATTCCAGTCTTGTCCCCAAACCCACCTTTTCGTGTGGAAAATGAGGATCCGATGACGGGGCGGAGTTGTTGATCCTGAATCCTCACGATCTCAAATCAAAGCAGCGCAAGCGGTAGTTACACGTGTAATTGCCGACCGTAGGATTTCACAGGCGCGTGTGGACCCACCTCCACCCTACCTTCCCGTACACCAACAGGGCAATTCCACAGTGTGAAAAAGTAAAGTAAGGAGCTTCTGTGTATATTTTGCATAGATTCATCAGATCCTAGCCCCACACCAAGGAGTGGGGGGAAAATTAAAAAGAAAAAGAAAAAGAAAACCGAGAAACCCAAGGCGGAAAAACACTTGACCTTCAAGAGCCTTCTCTCTCTGTATCTCTTCATTTTTCCTTGGGCCGCTCTCATCGTTATCTTTTCTCTCTTCTCAGTCTGGGAATTCCCAGCTCTATTCCTCGAGCTTCTTTCATGTTCTTCCTAAGAAACTACCCAATCTACTTCAACCCTCATTTTGGATCCAAATCGCTTGGCCAAGGTATATCCCTAACCCCTTGATTCGTACGGCATTTTACTTCTTAAACATGAAGGCTGCTCCATTTCTTTCTATTGAGCCCGCTGAGAAATTCTCGAGTACTTTCATGCATCGCAGTGGCTGGTATTTATCATATTTTGTCCGGCATTCACTCATATGGAGTTGGCCTTTTTTGTATTTTTTTTTTCCTTTTCCATAAATGGTTTCCGCAAATTGAAAAAAAGAACAGAGAGCGCGCGCGAGAAAAAGAGAGAGAGCGAGAGAAAGAGAAGATTAGTATGAACGCACAATCTGAGTGTGTAGATATGTTGGTTTAGATTTCTTTCTTTTTTTTTTTTTCTTTCCCCTTTTTAACCGCTCATGTTGGTGGCTTAAAAAGCGCAAAACAAGCATGCGAAAAAAAGAGTGAGCTCTGTTCGAGGTGCTTGTTTCCGGAAACATTTTACTCTAGTTAGTTGAGTAATGGTATTCGCATCAAGATCTCGGAATGTTGAAAATATAAAACTAAAACCATGTCGCTCTATCATCTTTGCTGCTTTTCTGTCTGCAAACTCACAATCTAGGTTTCATGTTGTATTTCCTGCGCCTGTGAAACTAAAACATTCGAAATGTATTTACAATGTTTTTTGGGTTAATAATCTTTGCGGTTGCAGGGTAGATAATCGGATCTAAAGGCTTTGAGGGAAGCTCTCGACTTTCTCCGGCGGGAGTTAAGGTTATTTACAGCAATTGAACATCGAACTTCGTGAAATCAGAGATCTAGCCATCTAGGTTTGCCATTGACTACTTCTGCTCTCTGTCCGTTATCAAGAATCGCCTTTTTTCAGATTTTTGGCTGTTAGCTCGTATATTTATCTTTTTATCCGGGTTTTCAGATTTTCAAGTTTCCCGAATATTTAGGTTGCTTGGTTTGCTGGCCTATAACAGCTATTTGACTCTGCTTTCCTGTTCTTTAGGCTTCTCGGAACGGTATCATTTTCGAAGTTCAAACTCTATCCCTGCGCCTGCGAGATTTTATCGTTCTACTTCGGTTTCAAATTTTTCTGAATTGGGTCTCCTTTTTCTGAATCAAGAAGATGCAGAGGCCTCCGCCGGAAGAGTATTTATTGAAGGAGACCAACCCTCACCTTGGAGGGGGAAAGGTCTCTGGTGATAAAGTAACGAGTACCTATGATCTTGTTGAGCAAATGCAATACCTGTATGTAAGGGTGGTCAAGGCTAAGGACCTGCCTGCAAAAGATGTCACTGGCAGTTGTGACCCTTATGCTGAAGTGAAGCTCGGAAACTACAAAGGCACCACTCGTCACTTTGAGAAGAAAACTAACCCTGAGTGGAATCAGGTTTTTGCTTTCTCCAAAGATCGGATGCAGGCCTCGACGCTGGAGGTTACTGTGAAAGATAAAGATTTTGTGAAGGATGACTTCATTGGCCGTGTTTCATTTGACCTGAATGAGGTCCCTAAACGAGTTCCCCCAGATAGCCCTCTGGCACCACAATGGTATAGATTGGAGGACAGGAAGGGCGATAAGGCAAAGGGGGAGCTAATGCTGGCAGTATGGATGGGTACCCAAGCTGATGAAGCATTTCCTGAAGCTTGGCACTCTGATGCCGCAACAGTTAGTGGGGCTGATGCTCTTGCAAACATTAGATCAAAAGTGTATCTATCTCCGAAGCTTTGGTATTTAAGGGTTAATGTAATAGAGGCGCAAGACCTGCTACCAACTGACAAGGGTAGATACCCAGAAGTTTTTGTGAAGGCTATCCTGGGAAATCAGGCTTTGAGGACCAGAATCTCTCAGAGTAGGAGCATTAATCCAATGTGGAATGAGGACCTGATGTTTGTAGCAGCAGAGCCATTTGAGGAGCCCCTCATTTTGAGTGTGGAAGACAGAGTTGCACCTAACAAAGATGAAGTGTTGGGGAGGTGTGTAATTCCTTTACAGTATGTGCATAGGAGGCTAGATCACAAACCTGTGGACACTAGGTGGTTCAATCTTGAGAAACATGTTGTTGTAGAAGGGGAAAAGAAGAAGGAAATCAAGTTTGCTAGCAGGATCCACATGAGGATCTCCCTAGAAGGTGGTTATCATGTTTTGGATGAATCAACTCACTACAGCAGTGATCTACGCCCAACAGCAAAACAGCTGTGGAAGTCCAGCATTGGCGTTCTTGAAGTGGGGATATTGAATGCCCAAGGCTTAATGCCTATGAAAACCAAAGATGGGAGGGGGACGACAGATGCTTATTGTGTTGCAAAATATGGGCAGAAGTGGGTAAGGACTAGGACAATCATTGATAGTTTTGCACCCAAGTGGAATGAGCAATATACTTGGGAGGTTTTTGATCCTTGCACTGTCATCACTATTGGTGTTTTTGATAACTGTCATTTACATGGCGGCGATAAGGGTGGAGGAGCAAAGGATTCAAGGATTGGGAAGGTAAGAATTCGCCTTTCCACCCTTGAGACTGAACGGGTCTATACACATTCCTATCCTCTCCTAGTCCTTCACCCTAATGGGGTAAAGAAGATGGGTGAGATTCACTTGGCTGTGAGGTTCACTTGTTCTTCTTTGCTTAACATGATGCATATGTACTCACAACCTTTGTTGCCAAAGATGCATTATATTCACCCATTAACTGTCAGCCAGCTTGACAACTTGAGGCATCAAGCAACTCAGATTGTTTCTATGAGGCTGAGTCGTGCTGAGCCACCATTGAGAAAGGAGGTAGTGGAATATATGCTGGATGTGGGTTCCCATATGTGGAGTATGAGAAGAAGCAAAGCTAACTTCTTCAGGATAATGGGAGTTTTGAGTGGATTAATTGCTGTGGGGAAGTGGTTTGATCAGATTTGCAATTGGAAGAATCCTATCACAACAGTTCTGATTCACATCTTGTTTATCATATTGGTTATGTATCCAGAGCTTATCTTACCTACAATTTTCCTTTATCTTTTCTTGATTGGAGTTTGGTACTATCGGTGGAGACCAAGACATCCTCCCCACATGGACACTCGACTCTCTCATGCGGACTCTGCCCATCCTGATGAACTGGATGAAGAATTTGACACATTCCCAACTTCTCGACCGTCTGACATTGTAAGAATGAGATATGATCGACTTAGAAGTATTGCTGGGAGGATCCAGACAGTGGTTGGTGACTTGGCTACTCAGGGAGAGAGGCTGCAATCTTTGCTCAGCTGGCGAGATCCAAGGGCAACAGCCCTGTTTGTGATTTTCTGTCTTGTTGCTGCCATTGTTCTGTATGTTACTCCTTTTCAAGTTGTGGCCCTCCTCACTGGATTCTATGTGTTGAGGCATCCAAGGTTCCGTCATAAGCTTCCTTCAGTGCCGCTGAATTTCTTCAGGAGGCTTCCTGCAAGAACTGATTGCATGCTGTGAGTAACCCCCAGTTTTATCGCAATTCAACTGTGATTGCTATGCCTTGTTACCTATCAATGAGTCTGGGAAGGCGCAGAAACAAATTAAGCTTATTTACTTTTATCGTCAAGGACCAGATTTTGGTTTCTGGTTTAACGTGTATGACCTTCTGAAGGGTAGTAGATTTTGTGGGTTTGCTGTTCATTATGTGGTAGGGTTTTCTGTTTTGAACTCCATCTTAGTCTGCTGTTCATTTGTAATTTTGTAGGTTTTGTGTTGAAATTGACTTGTGTTGATTTACTTTTATCTTTAATTAGATGAAGTAATTTATCGAAATGACATGGTCGATCTGAGCACCGCCACCATTGACCATGTTTGAAAATGGATGTGATTTTGGTTATTTCCCTGTGCGCAATCAGATTCCCGTTTCTATAATTTGGCGAAAATGTTTCTCCAGTTTTAAGATGCTTCCGATGGGTTTTGTTTGAAAGAGGTGAGCAACCTTATTCTCCCTGACAGACAAACCAACTACCAAATAGTTTAGTAGGTTTATGATCCCCTGCATGTTCAGCGTGTCTCTCTAGATCTTGTCATATTATAAAAATTTTGTAAAAGAATGCATGTGGCTATCCTTGTCTCTGGACAATGACGGGGAAATAATGCCCCCCTTACTCTGCGCATCTTGTGTTATTTCGAGTTGAGAAATTCAAGTGCTAGCACAAAGATCGCCTCTGGAGTCTTTTGCCTTTTGGGTGATTTCTTTGAGTATTACTATTAACCATGGTATGCTCCCTGCCAACAATACCCTTCCCCTGCATGTGCCAAAGCGACCTAAACGACGGCCTCTGTTCGAAAGCGGTTCGATTAAAGTGCATGGGTGGTCACCTTTTTGAGTGGGGAAAAAAAAAAGTGCCATGGATGACGGAGACTGTCTGGTAATCCACAGTAGAATTTGACTGCCAGAACCAGAATATAGGGCTAATAAGGTGAAATAAAAAAGAATGGGGTCATTGATTACTGGAATTGTATGGCCGGTTCTAAGTTTTATGGGAGTGGGGACCTACCTCCTCTCTCTCTCTCTCTCTCTGCTTCCATCTTTATAGCTTTACAGCCTGTAACATACTTTGCTTTTCTCCGGTTTCCTGTTCTAGTGAATGTGTGTAATGCGTGTGGACAAAATCTTGCCCGGCTTTACTGAGCGTACCTGCTTATCTGGGACTCCTAGTTAAAACTTCATCTCCATCTGCCTGCGTCAATGGGTTGGCTCTGTAAATTTTCTCTACCCTTCATTGTTTGAGTGGAAGATGATATATCAACAGACAAAGTTCTGTTGCATCGCAGCAGAGCGCAGTGGTGCGATGCAGCTCGTGGGGAATATTCTCTACACTTCCTTAGGTGTGAAGTTAACCATATATCACTGCTTTATTCGATAAGGGCCACGAGATCATGAGGACACTATTATTTATTTTTGCTCCCCTTTTTCTGACTTTAAAGTGGTTCTAATCGACACCATCATCTATACAAGCAACACCTACACAAGTGGGGAATAGTCATTTCTTGATTTATTTTACACGGCAAAAAAGATCGAGAAGATTTATGTATCATGTCATTGAAGATCAGTTTCTACCGCAAACATTTGTACGGGCAGAGCCATGAAATTGACTGGCGGGGCATATTAATGTGCAACGTTATGTCTTATCTCCAAAGAATTAATAGAAGATGATAATTTCTGGCGAGGTGGTATGGGAAAAATAAAGCGGAGTAAGAAATGAGTCGTGTTAATTGGGTCCATAGATACTATTGAAGTGGGTCAAAACAAGAGTCAAGAGCAGTGTTGCGTTAATGTGTACGGTGGAGAAGTGGGGTCGGAGGCGTTGTTTTTATTAATGAGCGAATATTCAGTTTTAGAGTTATGGTGAAAATGATGCCCAAATATATCCGTTCTTTTCCTCGTTGGCAAGTATATACATGATGTTACGCTTGTATTTTGGACTTTTATATTCTTCTGCTTTCCAGTGCAAAATTCCACAGCATTTTATAGTGCAAGGGATGGATTCGGATATTCTTATTTGCTGAACATCCAACGAAAAAAAAAAAAACTAGAAATGATCTGAGAGAGAGAGAGAGAGAATATACGTATAATTTTCACAGCAGATGGGGAATGAACTACTCTTTTAACTTTTACGGCACCTCAGTCTCTTTTTGGATAGTGGACGTGGTCCTGTCTTAACTTTGCGTTGTTGGTTTTGGGCGAGGGATACCTTAAATTCTTGAGCTATCTCTTCAATGTCGCTTTCTTTCGGCCCCACTTGATGGCCGGACACACGACACATCTTCTTCCACTAATTTCTTTCTTTCACATGGCCGAAACAAAATGAATATTGAAGAGATAGCTGAATATCGCGTCCATGTTCTCATTTAGTTAATTTTCATCAAGAAAATTTGTATGGAAGACTTTTTCACAATTTTTCCTAAAAAGAGACATAACAGAATGCAATAACAACATCGTAGCCCGCCTCTGGAATGGGCTGGTTTTTTTAGGCCGGCCCAGATTGCCTAAAATCATCATTCTTATTGGACTCTTGACCAAGAAGGCCCATTGTGATTTGTAGTGGAAGTTCCAAAAAGAAAAGGGGGAGGAGTCAAAAGTCAAAACAGAACAACTCAAATGGAGACGCAGAATGGACGAGGGATTGGATCATTCATCGGATTGAGGAGCTTCATTTGTGGAACCGACTTCCATATGTTGCCTTTCAATCAACCCAATTTATTGTTTTCCCACTCTGCTCAAACTCATACCACTTCACCTCCCTCTACGCTCCATAACTAAAGGAACACAAGTTAGATACTTTTATGCTCTCTAATAAATACCACGGTTATTATTAAGTAATTATCAAAACATGTAATATTAAATAACACTATCTTTTATTCTAATTATAAGAATTTGTTTATAGTCTACAAACAAGATCTTATAATTAGGAGCTAATATCTCATATCTGAGTTGTTATGCTATGAAATAGATTCCGTCCACAGAGAGAAGGACAAAGAGAGGTGCCGGAAGGGGTCTTCGAGTTCAAACTTGGCGTGTTTTGCCAGCTTTGGATATATATTTTCGTCTCTTATTTCTGAATTAACTATGATTTTTTTGTATAAAGTATGTGGATCTCATGTATCGCATGAATTATAATCAATTATTAAAAACGAACTAACTGCACTGTTTATGCGTGTGTTGATTTTTACATTTATATTTTATATTACATTTTCCATATTGATTGATAATGTATTGTTTGATAGATATTCGGATTTCAATAAAAAATTTATTCTATTTTAACGAAATATATGTTGTTTATGTTGACTAAATAATAATTATTTTTTAGCTTGAAAATGGGAGAATCCCGCAGACTCCTCACACCACCTCTTCTAACCTCAACTTGGTAAATAAGGAAGCACATGAGAATATATAGTGTGTGTGTGTGTGTGTATAAATATGAAGAGAGGAAGATAAATTTATGTATCCCCAATAAAACGATTAAAGCGGTGACCACTTCATATTCAAAATATGAAAATATCAATGCCTGTCCATACGCTGAAGTCAAGTCAACCACCATTTATGTCGTCCCTACTCCTTTAATAATTTAACGAAGTTGTTTAGCGTGTCTGACAAGACTACACTTCGATCTTCTGCTAAAACAAGATAGGGTCCATCGCTAACATGGCGGAGCGGAGAGACCCAGATTTAATTTTTGCTAACCGGCAATTTCCAATACATTTATTAAGCTCCCTTGGCGACCAATTAACTTAATCCATGGCATGATTTTTGGAACTTTCTCTTGTACTACTTAAGTTCCTACATACCTAATACGAATTCTAGCTAATAACAAGTTTCGAGACTGTCCATAGATTATTGTTGGAAATTAAACAAAACCCCAGGCCATATATCTAGGATTTCAATTAGAGTGTCGCGAATTTAATTTGACTTGTACTATTAATTTGAAGGAGCTGATGATCTCACCTCGATCCACACTATCATAAATTAATGAATGCCAACCAAAAGTAGGTTTAGGAATATGGAGCCAAAATGTTTAGGTTTAATGCATTCTTGTCGCTCATGGCTCTGCCTAAATCTAACAGTGGAGGAAGTTGAGATCACAATGATCACTTCCACATTTGTCACCAAATGATATGAGCTTCATTGACCTCTTCGTACATCGATTTCATCGTCAGCTATTCCGGGTATGGCCTTCATCTTATGCGGACCATACCTCTTTCCTTCACGATGTCGTTCAATGACCAAATTTAATTGCAAATGAAGACAAATTCATAATTTCGTTAAGGAATCTTTCAGCTAATTCAAGATTATTTTTATTTTGAAGATAAGTATTAGATATATGGAAAATTTGATCGGTTATACACTCCATCCAATCGCATCTCCTCATTAATTTTATCAGATGGCTTCATGGCCCGTCCAAATCAAAGATTAGATTAATATTGCATTACATTTCAATGAAGAACCCTATCACTTCCATCCAAGAGGCAAAATATAGAGTATCCTGTCACAATCACAACCGCAGAGAAGAGGGGTTAGACTAGATGCGTGCGTAGAGACTTAATTCCTCATATTCATATAAATGTTGTGAACCAAATATTCAACGTGTTAAAAGTATTATTCGACGAAGCTTGTTTTTTTTTTTTTATGTGTGTGTGCGTGTGTGCGCTTTCATCTATATTTCTTCAAGTATTATATATATATATATATATATATATATCTAGCATTAATATGTATACAATTTTAATTTGAAATGAGCAGGAGGTGGAGTAGTGATGCGTGTACTTTACGTAACTAATAAGTAGCTTTCCACCCTAGATGATATTACTTAGTTTTTTTTCAATACCTTGATATGAATTATTATGAGTGAAGGTTTTCGCTCGTGTTCGTTTCGAAGTACTTACCTTCCGTAGCAGAGAGAATCAGTATTAATATTAATAATATTAATTGACGATCAACTTCTGCACTTTAATTATCTTTTTCCCGAATCTTGTTAAATGACATTTAACCGCCAAACCAGTGCGTTTATTTATTGGTGATTTAGAAAGTTATAATATAATTTCTGTCCATGCGATTCAGAGATGGACACGTAAGAAAGAGATATTGAGTTTAATTAAAAAGGATAACATCACTGAACAACTTATTATCAGGATAAAAAGCTTTTACCTCTGAGTTAAATATGTGATCAGTTATAAAGCCGGGGGTATATTATCATTGAATATTGATCAATGAGATTGGGTAACCTAATTCGTGTTTAATGAGTATAAAATAGGAAAGAACCTCAACTGCTAATGACGGGAATATTAGAAAACAAATAGCTAGGGCGGCACCATCCCAGCAGCCTCATTAGAAAA